CTTTTTTGCTTATGTGGTGCTGAGGAATCGAACCCAGGGCCTCATGCATGCAAGGCAAGCGCTCTACCACTGAGCCGCCTTTCCAGCCCAAAGTACATTTCTTTTTGAACAGTGTCACCCCTTCCCTTCCTCTCTCCCTACCCTCCCACCAATATATATTTTATTTGTGCCAGTCCTGGGGCTTGAACTTAAGGCCTAGGTGTTTTCCTTTGTTTTTTGTTTTTTTTCTCAAGGCAGATGGGTGCTCTACCATTTAAGCCATATCTCTCCTTCTGGCTTTTTGGTGGTTCATTGGAGATAAGAGTCTTACTGCTGGGTGCCAGTGGCTCAAGCCTGTAATCCTATATCTACTCGGGAGGCTTAGATCTGAGGATCTCGGTTCAAAGCCAGCCTAGGCAGGAAAGTCTTCCAGACTATTATCTCCAATAAACCACTAGAAAACCAGAAGTGGTGCTGTGGCTCAAGCAGTAGAGCGCTCGCCTTGAGCTGAAGAGCGCAGGGACAGCGCCCAAGCCCAGAGTTCAAGCCCCACGACCGACAGAAAAAAAAAAAAAAAAAAAAGTCTTACTTACTCTTCTGCCCAGGGTTGGATTGGCTTTGAACTGTGATCCTCAGTTCTCAGCCTTCCTGAGTAGCTAAGATTGCAAGGCATGAGCCACCAGTGCCTGACTTAAAAGTTCTCCTCTGAAAAGTAGGCTTGGCTGGTGGGGAAGCAGACTATCTAGGCCCAGCTTGAGTTTGGAGAACTTCAGGGCAACTTTGATCATTCATTCATGCCCTTCCTCCCTCCCCCCAGCTATTTCTTATGCTACCGAGATACGTGGGAAGACGCGGGGCAGAGCCCAGCCAATTCCTGTCCCCAGATCCAGAAGCTGTGGTCCATTGGCCGATGGGTGCCCCTGGGACCACCAGAAGATGACCTTTATTCGTGGTAAGAGGCTGGGCAAAGAGGAGGTGGTCTCTGGTTGGAGGAGCAGGAGGACCCCACCCCCGACAGCATGTTGCTTCCTGGGGTACTTATCATCACCTTTGTGTGTGTCTCAGGAAAAGAACCCAGGGCCCCCTCAGCCTGCTCGCTCGAGGCTAACGCTCTTGCCAGGTGGGCTTTCAGCTCATTAATTTTGGGGACTGAATCTCCAGGACCTTTGCTCCCTAGGCTGGCCTCAAACCTCCATCCTCTCAACCTCTCTCTCTCGGCCTCCAGAGAGGCCCACAAGAGCACTTTTTTTTTTCTTTTTCTGGTGGCCTGAGAAGTGCTTTAGGCAGGCTGGTGTAAACAAGTGTTTCAGAGAGGTTGAGTCACCCCCTGCCGCGTCACACAGCGAGGCGCGGCCTGATTGGCTACTTGGGGGCAGTCAGCCAATCCACCGGAGCCTCCACTGTCTCTAAGTTTCTCATCCACAACCAGGAAACAACTTGCCCCAGGCCGGGGGTGGGGGGGAAGGGGGCTGTCCCCCCCGGGGGCTCCCCGGGGGCCGGGGTCTAGGGTCCAGGCCTGTCTGCCTCCCCCCTCCCCCAGGATCCTGTGCCCGCAGCCCCCGGGAGACTACCAGCAGCTGCTGACCATCGGCTTCGAGGAGCCGTCGCACATGCTGGCCACCGACCTGCTGGTTCAGGTCCTCATGGGCCAAGCAGGCCCGGCCCGGCCCCCGAGCGCGGCGGGGCTCCCGGCCTGGGCCGCACCCGGGTCTTGAACCCCTAGAAGGAGGAAGATGGGCGCTGGAGCCGGTCAGTCCCGAACTCCAGGAGAGACGGCAAGGGAGGGCCGGCCCTGGACTCCTTAGGACATCCCAGCTTCGCCTTGCCGGGTTTCAGGCCGGGCTTTCCGGCCGCGCGGAGCCCCGAGCGCCGACACGGGAGTTTCGTGTTCAATAAAAGAAAGAAAGAAAGAAAGAGGCCACGGGCTCGGGTCCGCTCCAGCGCCGCGCCGCGCCCCCGGCGAAGCCACGCCCCTCCGGCGCGAGGCACGCCCCCTCGCGCTGCCTTCTGGGAGATGTAGTTTAGCCATGCCTGTTCGCTAGGCAAGAGCGGGGGCATGCGCAGCAGCCCCCACGGAAAAAAAAAAAAAGGAAGTAGCGGCCCCTGTCAACAACCGGAACCCAGGAAACCCCAATTTGGCGGTAGCTGGGAAATTCAACGCCCACTGGAGGAAGAGACTTACGGTCACGCCTACTGCCCAATTGTAACCCGGAAGTTGTTTCTTCGCCACGTCAAAAGACTACATTACCCGGCGTGCCTGGCGAAAGCGTCCCGAAGGCGGGAGCCGACTTCTTTTCTTTCCTAGTTTTCAGATCTGGGGCGTGTCGCGTCTCCTGTACTTTGCGGGGTGCTCGCGTGTCGCGGACGGGGTGGGGAGAGCCCGAGGGGACCCCGGTTGGGAATGGCATCCCAAACGCGGAGTCGGGAGGAGACTGGGCGCTGAGGGAAGCGGACGCGCCCGGAACCTGTGCTCAAGCGGCGGAGCCTGGACTCGAACCGGATTCTTCCATCGCAGCTGCCTCCTGCGGCGCAGGACCGACCCCCGTGTCCCTCCTTACACCCAGGGATCAGAACTGAGGCCCGCGGGCCACCGTGGCTCACATCCCCGCCATCTGGGATCACGGTTCAAAGCCAGCTCAGGCAGGAAAGTCTGTGAGACTTTTTTTCTTGTCAGCCGTGGGTCCTGAACTCTGGGCCTGGGCGCTGACCCTCAGCTCAAGGCGAGCGCTCTACCACTTGAGCCACAGCGCCACTTCCGGCCTTTTCGGTTTATGTGGTGCTGAGGAATCGAACCCAGGCCCCATGATTGCCAGGCAAGCACTGTAGGAGTGAACCACCTTCCCAGCCAGTCTGTGAGACTTATCTCAATAAACCATCAGAAAAGCCAGAAGGGGAGCTGTAGCAAGTGGTAGAGCACCAATAGCTTAAAGACGGCACTCAGGCCCTGAACTCAAGCCCCAGGACTGACACAAGAACACAACACACACGCAGACTCACACACAAAAGGGAACTGAAACCAGAACACTATATATTTATATTTGTTGTTGTTGTTATTTAGTTATTTTTTCTGGTGCTGGCAGCTCACACCTGTAAGATCTGAGGATCACAGTTCAAAGCCAGCCAGGACAGGAAAAAAATCCATGAGACTCCCCTCACCCATTCACCCGCAAAAAAGATGGAAGTGGAGTTGTGGCTCAAATAGTAGAGCACCAGCTTTGAGTGTGTTTCGGGGGTGGGGAGGGAAACAACTCAGGACCAGAACCCAGGCCCTGAATTCAAGACCCACTAGGGGCACAAAGAAACATATTCCAACAATCAGCCCAATGAGAAAATGAATGAGCTCTTCCCGTGCGCTGCTGGCTTTGACATGTGGATGAGATGCAGCATAAGGCACTGCGGCTACACCAAGGCCCCACAGCCCACGTGAGCCACGCTGTGGGAGGGCGGAGGGGTGGGGAAACCTTGGTTTCCTGGGCTTGCTGCTCAGGAACTGTCACAGCCCCGGCCCTGGGCTTTCAAAACCTTAACCAGCAGCAGGTCATGTGGACAATTTCATCAGGAGGTCAGGGCTGGAACTCAGGAGCCGGCACTGTGTTGTCCCGTTCTTTGCAGTTCTTGGGATGATAGAACTGGGGGCTTGAGTGCCTTAGACAAGTGCATTTCTTTTCTTTTGTTTTTTTTTTTTTTTGGTCAGTGCTGGGGCTTGAACTCAGGGCCTGGGTGCTGTCTCTGAGATTTTTTTTGCTCAAGGCTAGCACTCTACCACTTGGTCACAGCGCCAGTTCCGTTTTTTTTTTTTTTTTTTGCTTATGTGGTGCTGAGGAATCGAACCCAGGCCTTAGAACTGGCTCCCATTTACCTCATGTCATGTTTTCTGGCCTAATTCATTTGTACGAAGCTGTGAAACCGCAGCCATGCTGGGCATGGCAGCACACACCTGTAATCCCAGCCCACAAGAAGCTGAAATATGAGGATCAAGACTCCCAGGCCCGCCTGGGTACAGAGCCTACGTCAGTCTTGAAGCTATAGTATGTGAACAGCACAGATACAGTTTGGCAGACAATTTAAGATGTTCTCCGAAGAGGAATTAACCAGAGCTTGCACATGATCAGCCAAACACCCTACTGCAAACTAGAGTTAGTGCTAACAAAAGTTACTTCTAAGTCCAGCGCCGGTGGCTCATGCTTGTGATCCCAGCTACTCAGAAAGCTGAGATTTGAAGACAGTGGTTCAAAGCCAGCCTGGGCAGAAAAGTCTGAGAGATTCCTATCTCTGATGAATCATTAAAAAACCTGGGAGTGAGCTGGCACTGGTGGCTCAGCCTATGATCCTAGCTTATCACCAGCAAACTTCTCAGATTAAGCTGGAAGTGGCTCTATGGCTCAAATGGTAGAACGCTAGCCTTGAGCACAGAGCGACCCAGGGACTGCGTCCAGGCCCTGACTTCAAGCTCCAAGACTGGAAAAGAAACAAAAAACTGGAAGTGGAGTTGTGGCTCAAATGACAAGAGTGTCAACCTTGGACAAATTAAGTCAGGCCCCAATCAGGTTCAAGCCCCAGGATGAGCACACACACACAAGTTTCCTTAAACAGTCACACTCCGCCTGGTGCCGGTGGCTCAGGCCTGTCATCCCAGCTACTCAGGAGGCTGAGATCTGAGGATCAGGGTTCAAAGCCAGCCCGGGCAGGAAAGTCCATGAGACTCTTATTTCCAATGAGCCACCTGAAAACTGGAAGTGGTGCCTTGGCTCAGGTGGTAGAGTGCTTGGCTTGAGCTGAAGAGCTGAGGGACAGTGCCCAGGCCCAGAGTTCAAGCCCCAGGACCGACTAAAGTAGCCACACTCCATTAAAAGTCATATTTGGGGGAGGAGGAGTGCTGGGGGCTCAAGTCCAGGATGGGGCCGCTGTCAGACAACAGCGCTCCCACGGGGCCACAACTTCACCCCTACAATTCTCTTTCTCTAACTGGGACCCGTTTTCATGTGGTTTGTTTGGAGACAAAGTCTCAATATGTTGCACAGGCTGGCCCTGAATTCCTGGGAGCTCCAGGGGTCCTCCTACCTCAAGCCACGAGTGGCTGGGACTGAGCGCTTGCTTGTACCCTCCACCCACCCCGTGCTGGTTCCCGCTGTTCTTTGGATCGCAGGAACTCTGACTCCCTACCCTGACTTATAAACAAACTTGGAGGGACGCCCAGCCGGACATCACAGGAGGGATGGGGGGCGCTTGGGCCTTCATGGGCACCTATTTTTCTTTTTAGCTATTATTTACATCTAGCGCAGGGACAGGCCGACCGCACAGGCTGGGGAGCCTCGGTGCAGGTCGGGCGGGGAGAGCCCGGAGCCCCGGTAGAAGTTGGAAGTCTAGCCGGGAGGGTGGAGCGGAGGACAAAGTGCACTTCGCACCTTGGCCGCCAGAGGGGAGCAGCGCGCCCGGACGGTTCGGCATGCACGGGGGTGTGGCCTGTCGTGGGCGTGGCCTCCAGAGGGGCGTGGCCTCCGAGGGTGGCCGGCAGCTCCCGAGCCGCGCCCGCGGGGTGCGTTCCGCATTCCCCGCGGCGTTCGCTCCCCACCCGAGACGGAGACTCCCTGAAGAAGACGTCTCGCGGGCCCCGGAGGGGCGGGGCTTTATTTGTGCGGAGGGGCGTGGGGTGACCCCGGCCCCTCGATCTGCCCCGGGGTGGTGGCTTTTCTTCCTCCAGGCGGACAAGCGCCGGTCCCAGTGCACTAAAGCTCCCCAAAGTCAAGGTGAAGCGCGGGCCGGCCGATCGCACGCTCCCGGGGCCGGGGACCCCTCTTCTCCAAGCCTTCCCGAGGGCGCCTGCCGCGGGGCGCTCCTCCGACGGTCGCCCCCATCCTGGTTCTTCCCGCCGGGCGTCCGGGTCACACACCTCACGGTCTGCATCCCTCCTGGGGAGAGGACAGAGGGCAGCCCCCCTGAGGGACCCGTGCACCCCATCCAGGGGCAGGGGGGGTCATTCGGGTCCCAGCCCTCCCCCGGGCTGCGCTTTCCCTGCCCAGCGTCCCGGATCCGCAGGGAGGGGCGCGGCGCGACGTGGAGGGCGGGGGTCCCCCACCCGGCCCAGGAAGAGCGACATGGGGGGCAGGGGTTCCCCACCTGGTCCAGGCCGTTCTCCGAGGCCTTCCTGCGCGGCGGCCAGATCACCGCCAGTTTTCCGTCGCCTCGGCTGGCTGCGGGGAGGCGGCGGGGGGGGGGGACGCTCAGCGGGGGTCGCCCCACCTGTCACCAGCCAGGTGGAGGAGGCCGGCCGCACCCCTTAAACACACACGTCCCCCCCACGCCCGCCCCCACGGAGGCCTCCGCCCAGCTGGGGGCCGAGGACCTGGGAATACAGAGCGCCAGAACCCAAGCGAGGGGGTCCCCGAACCCCGCGTCCGCGCTCCCTCCCCAGCCACGGCCACGCGGTGGTCCTGGGGCTCGAACCCAGGGCCCGGGCGCTGTCCCTGAGCTTTTTCGCCCGGGGCTGGCGCTCCACCACTTGAGCCACAGCGCCACTGGTGGCTGGTTTTTATTTCTGGAAGTTATGGGATCGGACTTTTCCGGCCCGCGCCGGCTTCCACCCGGGATCCTCAGATCGCAGCCACCGACGAGATGCCGGGATTACAGGCGGGAGCCGCGGCGCCCGGCTGTTCCAGGCGGAGGTGTAACGGGCTGAGAGGCTGCCCGGGGGCGCGGGCGGGGTGGGGCCGGATGA